AGATTCTTGTAAAAAAATGATGAATAATTTATAAACTATAGAGATCATCTATATTAAATACATATATCTCATAAGAATAAATGACGTATTTCAAATATGCATATTTGAAAATTCTCTAAAAATAAAATATTGAATTATTTCGGATATACATATCCGAAATAATTTAATATTAAACTATTAATTTATTTCAGATACGTATATTCGAACAAATCTCTAAAAAAATTAAATTTAATAAATTTCGATATATACATCCAAATATTTTAAATTTTTGGACAAAGGTATACAAAAAGATACCTAGATGGAAAAAGAAAATCTCATATTATACTCCTCTTTGTTTTGATACGAGCCATACTCAACCACTACAAACATCAATCCTTGAATATGTCTCTCGTAACGTATTTAGAGTTCTCATCTAAGAGGTAAATAAACCTCTTTTTGTGCTACTAGTATACAAATATATGTATATTTTATTTTATGATTACAAAGTTAAATTGAACCACTCTAAAAAAATCATGGTAAGCAAATCATTGATATTTAAAATATCTGATATAGTTAATTTATAACGAATTTTGAATACCATTTGCTTATAAAAATATATTAATGAAGTAAAGAATAAGCAGCTTAAGAAAAAAAGGTATTCCAACTTAACTGCGTGTGAATGATACATGGACTTGGTGTAGAAAGTAATTACCCTAGTCATCATGTTATAGTGTTATCCATTATCCTCATAATTAAGCCAACAGTGAACTTAAAGAAGCATACTGATTAGACCAGCACCAAAACATGGAGTAAACCTCAAGTTTCATTAAAGCCAATTAATATACATATGGTTTGGTGGATGTTATGATTATATATTATTTATATTTCTCAATTTTTTTCTTCACGCCCATTCTTTATGGCCATGGATGTTCATTCTCTTTTGGTTGCCACCACTTCAGAGCATTGAAATTGCAATCGTAACATCGAGAGGATCATCATTAGACTGTAATACTAGTATGGCCTTGGTAGTCCATGTTGTTAAAGCTACTATGAAAGGAATAAAGAAATAATTATTTTTTATTAAAAATATTCATTCAATAATTATTTGAAATATGTTCATGACTTCTCGAAATATTCTAATATTCTTTTTTTGTTTTTCAAGTATTTTCTTTAAAATAATACTGGATAAGGAATATATTCATTTATGGACAAAATTTAGATATTAATTTTTCAGATGTGGTTCTTATTATTTTTCAATAAAAATATAAAAGTATATTTAAATATTATTTAAGAAGTGAAAATAGGAATAATTTGCATATATGTAAGAACAAATTATATATTTGTCATATTTCCATTGAAAATAGTAAGAATCATACCTAAATAATTGTATTTGAGTTTTATTTGTTACTTATCCTAAATTGAAAATTAACACCTAAGTCATATTGCCACTCAATGGAAGTCATTTATTAGAATGCTAGAGGAGCAGGAAACTTTGATATTAGGTTGGCTATTAAAATTCAAGTCAGACTTGCTTTTGATTATTGAACGAATAATTTCTTATGCTCATTTCTCTCATGAGTGTCTTAAACAAATTAGACTTTAAGAGATTTGCAGATAAATTTTAGACAGAATCATGATTCAAACTTATGACCTTCTTGTGCAATAGATATGAATCCATTGAGTCGAATTTATCTGAACAACATGTATCTTTTTCTATAGAAGTTTGATCAAACTAAATTCTTCATTGTAGTTGTATATGCAAATAACTCTCATGTTATTTGAAGACAATTATGGAATGAACTTACCAATTTTTAGCAGGTCAATTCCGGCCCTTGATGCATGCTAGGTGATTTCAATACAGTTATTATTTCCCATGAGAAATTTGGTAGATACCCTTACAACTAAAAAAAACATCTATTGTAACACCACCGAATTGTATTTCACCACGATCAAAGGATTCACCGTGGTAAAATTTATTCAATTAGACACTTTCATTTTTTATATTTTATTAAAAGACATACAACAACAGTTGTTAATACAATTATTATTGTATGTAGTGCATGGTCATGAGTTCGAATCTTGTTGTTGTAGTTATTTTACTGCTGCATTTTTATATTTTATTAAAAGACATATAACAACAGTGGTTTAAAACAATTTTTGTTGTATGTAGCGCATGGTCATGAGTTCAAATCTTTTTGTTGTTGTTGTTCTACTGTTGTATTTTTTTATTTTATTAAAAGACATACAACAACGGTTGTTTAATACAACCGTTGTTGTATGTAACGCATATTGAGTTTATTGAGTTTCTTATATGCGTGTTTATTGATTGTCTTCATTGTTCTT